GGCGTGTATGTGCTCCCCGGTCGCCATATCAATTTCTTATGCGCTGATGCGACATAACTGTCCACGAACAACTGGACGAGGCAAGTTACGGACTTTGGTATCCGATGGCAACAACCTGCGTTATGCACAGGAGACACTGATAAGTGTCGCGCAATCCTGTGCAATGTTACAAGGGTAGTGTGTGACTGACGTAAAACGGAAAAAATAAATTCCTCGTCCTTGCTACCGTAAACTTGTACCCAGATGAAGCATCCAAAATCCTAGGCGTCTTGGACAACTTCGCCGAGAAATAGTATAGTTTTAAATTAAATGCAAACGCGAGCCTTACTTCTGCGCTGTCGATAAGCTCATATCTAACCAAGCGGTCAAACCCAGTTCATCGGCTTCCAGTGGGGGCGCTCGATCCTCCTTGAGATTGGCATGCTTAAATGTACGCGCGTTGCTACATATCGGTCAACTGGCAGCGCATGCCCGAGCGATCGAAATCTGCTGCCTGCCAGATCTCCGCTTGCAAGACTCGAGATCAGTACTCAATTTACGATCTCCTTAATGTGACACTTGCCGTACTTGTGCATTGTGCCTATCTGATGGCGATGAAGCTTCAAGCACCGACCAACCTGGTGCTGGTATTGCACTGAGTCCCCCGGGCTGAACCTGCTCTGGTTACTTGGATCCCAATCAGTAGCCGGATGTGTGCGGTCGCATTGGCTGGCTCCATCGAAGTCGCGCCGGTCTAATAGGTGTCTATTCGTCAACGCTGCCCTCAAGTGTGAGGGCTGCCATAAGCCCCAAGCGGAACTGGATCGGCTAGCACTGGCTGTCAACCTTTTCCGTCTATGTTTTGCTCCCTCGAAGAGCAAACGTTCTATCCAAGCTTGGCAAGAATCGCCTCTTGCGCTAACCATTGTTAAGGACCAGCTGGAAGTTGTTCAAAAATTCAACTATCTCAGTAATCTCATTAGCGCCCATTCGGATCGAAGAGGGATAACCAACCGCATAGCTTACGCACGAGGCGCTTTTGCTAACCCTCGCCACCTACAGCGCCGACAGGACATCACACTCGCCTTGAACGGTAGTGTATAATGGTCGTTGAACTGTTCGCTGAGCTTGGCAATTTTGTTGCAAACGTTCCGTCAACAAGCGAGGTGATGTCATCAGTGCGTAGTTGAGTGGCGCGAATTAGCGTAGAGTAGCGTAGAGGAGTCTCGATGAGAGTGCGCTGAGCATGCGTTTTTTTTACACCGCCGTGGTTGCCCGTGGGGACGAGCAATGTTATTGGTTGGAACTTCGATCCAAATTCAGCTTGGCTTGTGAGGTTGACTGCTTAGGTTTCGTAGCCGTTGTCTGCTTGCTCTGGGCGAGTCTGTCTTCAGTACTGGTTGTCTAGTCACATGTTCCACGGGATGCAATCGATCGAGTTGGCGGTCGTTCGCCAGTAGTGTTGGGTATACTGCATTCAGTTCGATGTGTCGATCGATTGAATCCGTTGTAGGGTACCAGGCTTCCAACAACTCCCTCGTGTGTTTTGGATTATGATGTGCTAGGATCTGTGCATTCTCTAGTTGGAAATTGTGGCCTGTTTGATCTTCATGCGCAGAAATCAATGAGTACAGATCATATCTTTTGACGGCCGTCATGTGTTCGGTGATTCGTGTACAACGATTTGTTCCAGTTTGTCCGACGTAGTTTTTATCGCAGTCGCTGCAGTTTATCTGGTAATGACATTGCACTGGTCGTCTTGAGCAAGATCTAAGTTCAAAACTGGTCCACCAGATAAAAGCAACACTGAAGAAACCACAAAGAAAGAGCTCACCGCCACGAAGAGATGTAGAATGAAAGCTGATGATCCAAACGATGCACTGTCCTTTGGACTACTAAAAGTATACAAGGATGGAGTCCCACTACGACCAATGGTCTCGCTCCACGAACACATCATGAAAATTAGCGAAGGATTTGTGGAGAAGGTTGAAACATTTGCTTGCCGGATCCGAACGTATCCCCAACAGTGCTGAAAAATTCTTCAACGAAATGCAGGTTGTCAGAGTAGAAGACGACGAAACTATGCTTTCACACGATGTCAGCGCACTGTTAACTTCATCCGGTCAGGAATTACTTAAAGAAACTTTGATGGAACCACTTGAGAATCGAGTAAGCCCAGTGACAAAAATACAACATGAAAGCATTTTGTAACTCCTGAATCTCTGAATGACCACTTATTCGTTTTGATGGTCAAGTGTAGCAGCAACTGAGAGGAAGATTCAGGGGATCCCCAATTTCGGGTATAAATGAACAAGCAATAAGGAAACCCCGTCACTAAGAACGATCATGTGTTATGAGTCAAGCAATGACACCATAGCTCAAGCATCGATAGTTGCTCATCCAAACTCAAGCCGAGTGCACTGAAAACCAAACCGCTTACACCGGAGCTGCATCACCAAATTACCAACAAGGTGGATGATGTTCCTGATGAAAAACGCTTAGTTGTATTTGTCAATAAAGCATGAGAAACGAAACCGACAGATCGATCGCCTAATATATTATGTATCATGTCGAGGTGCCCAGGGCTTCCGTATCCAGGCGTGCATTGGGTCTTCAAAGACTTAGCCATTTGAAGGGTGAAACGGATAATTGGAAGTAGCTGGTCCGTTTCATTTCAAACTCCTACTAGGAGTCCGAGGTGGATGGGAAGTGTTCCTGATTTATAACTCATAGTTTACTTCTTCTCCACACCGTGCAACGGGTACAAATGCAGACTCATCAGTTAAAAGAATTGTATAGACGTCCACGGCACTCAAAAACCTGCTGCAAAATTGAAGCCGCTTCTCCGAAGCACATGGGTTTTAAGCTGCACTTGACGGGCGCTATACTTCCGGAATTTCTTTTCCTTCAAAGCCCTATGGACAGCATATCTGGTGGTGTCGCAATGCTTGGCGAGTTCACGCATGCTTAGATCGCAGCTTCTGGACACCTCACGAATAATCACACAAGCAGAAAGTTATCCTTGGTGATACGAAGCCACCTTGTCGTTTTTGGCGCCGCACACACTCCCAGTTTTCTCAAATTTTCTCACTAGTTTACGAAGGTACCGTTCGTTGATGGACTAATTGGCACTGTAGATAGTGGCAACTAATTTTGCCACCCGAGTGGGTGGTGACATTATCACTCTTACTGAGGGCAGCATAGGCGCGTGAACGCCCCACGATCGGTAAAGAGCACACTAGTTTTCGATGCAAACTACTATGCGTTTAGGACCTAGAGTTGAATGTGTTGAAAGTGACCACTACGGAACAAATAGGAGGATCACTGGGAAGAACGTTTGCACAAGTGTGACACATGGCGCAAATAGGCTGTTGATCATACAGAGTAACATTGAAATATTCAACCCACAGCTTATCCCGATAATTTGTCCTTAATATTTGGTAGCCAACATACGACGGTAATAAATTTGGTGCCCCGTGTCCCGTGCCGCCTTGGGCTGACAGCCTACGCGCCCGCATACTAAGCCTCCACAAAGGAAACAAGTAAACGTATTAAAAGCGGATTAATCATCTCTTCGTCTACAAAATGCAAACAAACGTCATTAAGAACCATCACCTGTTGTGAGTCCAGCAATGACACCATAGCTCAATCATCGATAGTTGCTCATCCAAACTCAAGCAGAATGCACTGAAAACCAAACCGCTTACACCGGAGCTGCATCACCAAATTAGCAACAAAGTGGATGCCGTTCCTGATGAAAAACGCCTAGTTGAATTTGTCAGTAAAGCATGTGAAACGAAACCGACAGATCGATCGCCAAATATATTATGTATCATGTCGAGAGTGCCCAGGGCTTCCGTATCCGGGCGTGCATTGGGTCTTCGAAGACCTAGCGGGTTGAAAAGCCAAACAGACACGAAATGTTTCAAATGTCAATCAGAAGACGAAGTCAATGCAAGTAATAGTTTTGATAACACTCAACGGTACTACTTTCAGTTTAGCATTTATTATCCCATTTAAATCGCTTATAAGTAAGTATGTTAGTTCAACATAGCAATGGTTGCAGTTTTTGAATAAAATGAACCCGTGGACCTAATTTTCATTTAAAAGAGCTTTTTAATATGACTGTCAAATTGGCATTTGTAACTTTTGTCGTTCCTGACTCGGAGAAATGCGCAACGAATTTGTCTTCCCGTACGCTGAGTCATCTGTTAGTTCTTTATCAATCTGCTGCTTCCGTTTTTCTAAATCTAGCCGTTATGGTTACCAATTTTTGTTACCAACAGAAGTATTGTTTAGAGTACGCTACATTTTCATGGGCGACTAGATATGCATCAACAATCACCGTGTTGCCCGGGCGTATCTGTAGGCAGTGAGGGATTCGAAAAAGAAATCGCGCAAATGTAAGAATCGAAATAAACGAAACAACAGAAGAAGTTTAGTAAAACGAAGCATGTTGGACAAGCGGAGCTTTGCTAAAACGCACTGGGAAGCATCTGACGCTATACTATTAAGACCACTGACTATGTTTTCTTAAATGAATTTATAGAAAACAAAAGTTTTCGTGCCTTACAATAGATGGGTTATTTTGATTTGTTCGTCATATCGCTGTGTTATTTCGTGATAGGGGGCACACCGTAAGTTTATATTCTGTGCATTTCTCGAATATTTCGTTTACATAGTTTGTCCTATCGCAAGCCAGGTACTTATAGGAAATTGTATATAATATATGCCATATTTATCCGGGGTAAGTAAAACCGTTTCTGCCAAGTGCGATTACTTTTCGTGTTAATCAGGAAAAGTAAATATGAAGGATGAAAACATCCAAGTTACTAGTTTTAACCTTCCTTTATTTGACTTATAACAACGTGTATTCGCCATTTAAGCTTTAGTGACATTTTGGACATCGGAGCGGACACATTCGTAGGTGAACTGGATACAAGGACCAGAATTGCTACAAGGTGCTGCGATCAGAACAACAGTAACTGAGCATTCTGTCCTTCGTTTTACTATAAACTTACCTAAACTCTAATCGGCGTTGAATCTTTTCGTTCTCTTCATGTAATCCGAAATAAAAAGCACTGTCATTCTGTTTTTGATTGAAACCACTGTCGGCGTATGTCCCATAAAACTGACGTCAATTTGTGACATACAGAGAAGACCATCGAATATGAAGATGTACTAGAGAATCACATCTCCATTTGCCATCTGCAATTGGGGGTGAAGAAGAAATTCATGCTTAATAGAAGGTGTTTGGATTCCTTCTAGGAGTTGCTCTAGTATTCGTTTGTCACGCTCGCTTGCTGACTCACGCTCGTATGCGATGTCGGCCATCTTTCGGAGTTCGCGCACATACCTGCCCATGCTCTCTCCGGGCAACTAGTATCGGGAGTGGAATTCTCTGCTTAGAGGAGTTGGTAAAGCAGGAGGGTCCAGCAGGCGGTGCAAGGCAGAGAACGTCGCGGTGGTGACTTTTTTTTCCAGAATTTTGCTATCAGCAACCATATCAAAAGCTTCACCTGACAACAGGCCGACGAGCACGCCTGAAGGTTGATTGACTGGAAAATGACGGAGGTAAAGCTGGACTTGCTTCTCCCATCTGGAGTACGTCATCCCGGGAGTGTAGCGTTCTGAAGGAGAGGTTGCATGCATGCAGCCTGACGAATTTGAGGCTGTTGATAATTCCTCCAAAGTACGGGACGAAACATCCAGTGAAGTGGAACGTCTGGTCGTGGGGTCAACGATATCAGAATGACTTTCGTCATCAGACTTTTTGGTCGTTTTCTACATGAACCTCATTAGACTAATAATGGTGGATTCCTGGTTCTTGTGACTTCGCGGGGTTGCCACTTGTGTAACGCTTCTTCCTAACAATGACGATGCCACGTAGAGCTGATGGGATAACTGACTGCCAGAAATGGAGCGAAGCCAAGACCATACAACGGTGACCGAGGGAACGACCCCTAAAATACCTTGTGTAAGCCGAAGGGATAGCTTTCCTAGCAGTCAAAGTAACCTTATTTAACCGAAATGGCTGGGGTGGTCATTTAGGCAAGAGTATCTAGAAGCGGCACCAAGGGTCAAGGAAACAATAAACTGTTCAGTCCTGGGCAAAATGCTCACGCCCGTATGGGTGAGGTCATGCACACTCATCCCCACGCGGAGGATCACTAAGCAGCTGGGAAGTAAGATGATATCACAAATGCAGTGTGACCGCAAGGAATGAATTTACTGCCGATGGAAATTCAAAATCACTGCTTATCTTTTCCATAAATGTTATCCTAATGCTTGGCAAAGTACAACGGTTCTTCAGGTTGATTAAAAGATGTAGTTGTAATAAAGGAACATAGGAGAGAATGTGTGTCATCACGACGCAGCAGAATTGCGGATGCTTTTGATGTCCTTAGGTACACCTGACCACTCCCATCATGTGTGATCCCGATGGCTAGGTACGCATACGTGCTGTAACCGTCAAGTAGGTGAGCCACCGCATTGAGGAGTAGTGGGTGTACCTAACGATCAGGCGAAAGCAATGGCGTGGTAGTAAAGGCACGAATAATAGAATCATGAAAAAGGCGGACTTACAAACACCGATGGTAGCTAAATTGCTCCTGTCCATTGGACGACGCGCACAGCTGTTGATACCAAAGGTCGCTGTCGGTGCACATGACCCAGTCAACCACCCGTCCAATCTGTGCCTCGCAGTCTGCTGGGAGACACACTTGTCGTTGTCGTAATTGGCTGAAAGGTTGCAACATTGCACTTGAAATCTACCATTGGATAAGTAGGTCACTGTTACCTTTTCCCTTGTGTAACGGCATCGCAAACGCATTCTAGCATACCCAGAAAACTGATACCAGGCCTGTCCAATCCTATCAAAGCAAGAATCTAATGCGTGCTCAGACAAGCCTGTTTTACCCATCAAAGCTTGCCACTGGGATTGAGCAACAAGCATGCGGTTAACGACCGCGGTGAACAGATCTAATAACGACGTTCGTTCCGAAAGACCGCCCTTTAAATGCCCATTTTCGTTCCTCATCCGGTTCGTTGTGTAGCAGCTGAACAAACGGCTTGACGGCAAGCGGTGCACTGCCCATGATGAGAAAAACGGCAACCAAGTCTTTAACAAGTACTTGTGCGCCTCGGCGTTTCGCGCTTTAATGGCTGTTAAGCACCTGACAAACAGCGAGTAGCTCTTAGTATACACCAAAATCCGTACCCACTGCTTAATAAGCAACCTGCACATTGCAGTTTATGCGGCTGATCGGTTGCAGCGACGGATGATATCACGCGGTAAATGGAAACGGCAAAATACAACTTGCGTAGAGGGGTACACGGTTTGAAAACATGGACCTGGTCCATGCATTTATTAATCGTCACTGGTCTTGCTGTCTCAGTCGCTGATAATATGAGACGCATGTCGCGCACAGCCATCACATACCATGCGATTGTCTCATTTGGAAGCAACGCGTAGAAAAATAAACGCCATACACCAGTTACCTCCACCAACATGCAGTGCCACAGTATGAAGCCACCGCAGTTCACCTGGTGTGTCGCGTCCGCCAGCATTACCTGACTGTAAAGAACAACGAGGTCAAGTAGGTACCTGGGAATGAAAAATAAGAACCGTAGCTCCGATTCCTCATACTCCACATTACATTGAGCGACACTTTCCAGCAACTGTACCACCGCTTCCACTGAGTTCCCGTCCACCTAGCCTCTCATCTGATGTCTTATGTTCCATAGGTCGTAACGCTTCAATCTTCTACCGTAGTGCGTAAGCGCCTATTTTCTGAACTCGCGTGTATCCTTAATCAACTGCATCACACGATACACGTCCTCTTCCGCGTGCCGCGGGAGCCGTCTGTTGGTCACATAGAGAAACGGCTTTCCTACATGTAAGGTATGGTCGTGCGCAACGCTGAATGAATACTATGTCGTAGCACCAGCTGTTATGACGTATGAGAATATGCGCCTTGCAGTCATAACTTTTGTACCTACAGTTCTTAAACGTTTCAAAAGGATTGCACGTCAACTTACCTCTTGCATGTGTACCCTCTTCGGCGATAATGAACGCACCTATTGTGTACGGATCTGTACCGCACACCCAGAGGCAAATCTTTACCGGTTCTCTTCCGATACGCCTCAGATGTTAGACTATCTGATTTGAAAAAGAACATGATGCATTTCGCAATTGAAAGCGCTTTAAGTCGCTTTCGAAATGCTCAACGGTGCGGTACACACGCTGAACGTAGACAGCAAAGAAAGCAGCAGTATCGTCGACAGCCAAGACATCGACTGAATACGCCAACGCACTTTACGGTGCATTTAAATTATCATCATACTCATATAATATTATGTTTGCGTTGCAACCCATAGCATTTTTCCACATTAACAGCTCTTAGATTCCAATGTAATCTTCGCTTTTACTTCACCAAGGCACAATAGCATGCTGTCCGTTACCGCAATCTCCAGTCGCCTGCTAATCACCGACCGTTGTGGAGCACGGTCCCTTCTCAAAGGCTTCAAGGCAGTCGAAAAAGTAGGAGCAACCGGTCATAGTGAGCTAGACGAATGTGACAAGCAGCCATTCATGGGTCAGGATGTGGCGGGGTTATGAAAAGACTAATCAGGGTAGTAAACAGGTCGCAGATGCTAGGTCTTGGAAAGTCAAAGAGAATGAGCCGTCAGACGGAGAAGGAAGATTTAAGTAGTAGTGGGTATGCTCTCAACCATGCATCTTAACTTATTGTATCTTAGATCTGTCACGAAACAAGTTATTGGTCAGACAATACGAGCAAAAGTTGTCAAGCAAAGAACAAACAGGGCAGGCAAGGTTGGAGTTGCATAAATGGCGCAAGCGGATAAGCAACTGAGCAGATTGAAACTGCTTTAGGGCATAGAATGAAGATGAACAACAGTGCAAGCTCAGCAAGCTGAAAGTATGGGTGGAAGTGCCACACATGAGTTGTTATACTCAAAAGCCTGGCAGTTGTCAAATTGACGCTACTGGACTAGGCCATTGGTGGCGGTTAGGCGATGTAAAGGCCCGAATTATGCAGAGCAGATGTGGAAGGTAGGTGAAGGGTAGACACGTGTGGAGGGTAGGGAAAGGATTAAGTTGATGGCGTAAGGTAGCGTTTAGTGGCAGAAAGAAACAAATTAGTTTTGTTGTACAGCTATATATGTGTAGGTCCGTGTTCTCAGTACTCGGTTGCAGGTACGCAGGTGCCTACTAGTTTCGCTATTTTGGAAACGATGATTAAGCTCTTTTTGTAAGGACGAAGAAAATAAAATGTCAGACGCCCTGGCGACTTCTGTCAGCCTATTCCATGGGATGGCATAACTGTTGATTAAAAAATTAAAACATATTGAACAGTACGTGTTATTTGTGGAAAATGTGTGTGGCTTTTTCCGAAACTGGTATCTGGTATCGTCCGTCATTTGAAACAATCAGCCAATATCTGAGTTAAAGACGCTGACGTGTTTATAGTTTAAACTAAGGTTGGCTTTAGGTCAGCGTAGCTGAAAGGGTTCTAGACCGAGCTTCTTACACTGGTCTTAGTAGCTGAGTGCAGTCAGACCTAGGATGCGCTAGGTAAACGAGCACTAAACCCTCTCGGACACCATGCTATCGAATTTGCGAACGTTAACAATGACCACCGAACAGTATTCCGGAATTTCTCGGACGCATAATTCTTAAAGGGTGAGTCGGGATTCCCTTAAGCGTATTAGTTTGAAGATGCATTCAATGATTGCCCTAGCTTTTGCAGCACTGTAGCTCACTTGTTCAGAAAAATGTGGCGAACTTGTGTAGTGCACTTTTGGATCCCGAACGGCAGAACAGGTTTCTAGAGAATTTCCGGTAGGAATCAGCGTGTTAGATAGTACGCGCCACCTGTAGAAGAGAACGTTGCAAATTGATGAGGAAAATCCAAGTTTCAATAAGTCATACAATGTTCCGACTGCGCTGGGGTAATTTCGATTGAGTGAGAGGATGCTTTGTATGCCAGTAGAATCAAATGAAAACACCACGCTTACATAGTCATCGGACAGGTATGGTGTGTCGTGACCGAAAATCTGAAAGCTGTCATTTATGTAGTGTAGAACCAGCAAGGGACCAAGAAAGCTTCTTTGGAACATACCGCTAATTAAAATAGACCTTTAAGAAGTGGTGCAAAACAGTTCCACTGACGACGTACTGTTGTATAAATACAAAGGAAACTGTGAGATGAGATTATCTGAGATGCCGAATGCAGCTAACATTGTGAGTCGTTTGCATGAGACACGGTCAAATGCCTTTTTTATGGCAAGGTAACCAATGACTAATACCTGCTCCGTGTTTATGGTGTGCGTTACTTTGTTCAGAAATTCAAACTAGCAACTTTGGCAGGAATTTAAAGGCAGGAACCCGTGCTATGCCCTGTTTATGAGGTTTAGATGCTGTAGGATATCAAACGTACCCGCCTTAATTATTCTTCCTATGACCATAGTTACGATGGGTATGTAGATGATAAGACGGTAGTTGTCAATATTTGACGCGTTGCACGTTTGTATCGTGGCACAACGGTAGCGTGCTTCCAAATATCTGGGTAGAAGCTGCTGTGTATAGACAAGCTAAAAAGGTTAAGTAGGAGGACTAGAATGTCCGGACCTCCAAGTTTCTGCATGGAAGAGGAGACACCGTCTTGATAAGGGTAATGTGACACCTTCGGCGAACGAAGTGCTCGCGTGCTTTTTTACAGATGACAGTCGACACTGTGCAGCAAATCGTCAGTAAACTTACGTACGCTTTCTGGTACCAGCAAACCTGTGATGCTGAAGGAATCACAGAAGCACTTGTTGACAAATTTGTACAGTTCGGCTGAATCGGTAAGTACCAATTCGTATGGGTGCATGAGAGAGATAATGGGTATAACTGTGCGGCCCTTCCAATGTTTCATAAGTCTGGAATGAGTTTTTCCTTCGTTGTTCATAATAAACTATCTGTGCTCAGCTGATATGAAACAAATAAATAAATGGTTAATGATATATTTTCTGACTGTTGCTAGATGCTATGCTTGCAAGGAATCGGCTCGATATTTACACAAATCCCCTGCTCTTGCATGGACAAAGAACACCGAAAGTATATGTTATTTGTTCGCAATTACCATACCAAGCATTGGGCTTAACTATGTCTTTTGCAGCACTTACCATTTTGAAGCGCTAGTTTTGCGGACTCCACTACGAATTCAAGGCTACTTTACGTTCGCTGTTTCAGGGGTTGTACGGGTCTACCAAAAGGTTTAGCCGGTTCCTTCACTCAAGCTTTGTGCTCCTTAACACTATTTGTGACGAAGAGGCGCGAAGCCGTATTTATACATGATTTTAAAGCAGGATTAAATGCTCTACGAACTTTGCTCTAAATTCTTTGGACTGATTCGGCACACTCTGTAGTCCAATTTCATCGTGGTCATATGAAAAGACATAAGGGTGGTGGAATTAGATGGCACATAAAAGCTAAAAATGAATTTTAGCGGCCATGAATAGAACCTAAACCTGTTCATTCTAGGCGAGATATACTAAGGCGGCGTACTTAACTAGAGTAGTACACATGAAGGTAAATTATGATCGAAGTCGTTCGCGCTAAAAATGGTCCCTAGCTCCAACATTCAAACTGAATAAATTTCGGAACAAAATATTTTTTGAAAGCTAGCATATTGCGAGTTTCGAATTGGCCAGCCTTTCATTCATTCGAACGATAAGATGGAAGTCTTTGGTCTTATTTTAAGTGGAGTGCATTTTCTTGAGCTTGGCAGTGACTGCGTATGGTGGCGTCAATGGCGGTCTGAATTTTTCTTCCTTTGTTGTGCTCTAGGGTAAGGGCGTCAAACACTTCGTAAAGTTCATAAAGCACACAACCCTCTATATCTATATGGACCGCCAAGCAGTAGTCATCTCAAATTGCCGCCCGTATAAGTACGGAAAATGATTCCCAGATGATGCGGTGGGGACTTAGTAGTATGAGTTCATAATATATTGGTAATTCTAAACGTTGGGGAGGAAAAATATGAGTCCCACTATCTTGTGGTCACCACACGGTAGATTGTTTAACACGTTGGCGAAAGAGTGGCGTATGCCTTTTGTGAAAAAGCAGGTCCAAGATGTTAGGTTCTCGCATGTGAGCATGTACACGTTGAGTCTAAGCCTGCGTAACTACAATCTCAACGAAGGCCCTATGCCTAGAAGTTGTGGACTGATAAAGCAATAACCTATTGAGCATATTGAAATCTCCGACAATTATTTTACAACGTGCTACCACGAATGATAACACAAGAAATAGCACTAGATAAGGAAGAATTCGGTTGGCTATATACACAACCGATTAGGAGTTCAAGCTGGCCTCCGATGTATTGAATCTAAACAGAACTTTTTGGGTTACCAATTGATATAGCTTGGAAAGTGGCTGCATGGAAGTCATGGTTGACGTAAATAAGATAGCTACCTCCACGTAGAGTGGTACGACCAATACGGAAAATGGTGTAACCTGGAATGTGAAGCAGAGCATCAGACGTGTCAGGTGGATGCCAAATTTCAGTACTAAGTAAAACATGCGAAATAAACTACAGTATGATAGGTCCTAGAAGATAAATTTTCGGCTTGCTTGATGACGTGTTGAGGTGGAAATCTTTATATGAATAGTTAAGTGGCACAACAGAGTTTGCTGTCATTCCGCAATTCATGGTAGCCAGGATCTCAGTGTCAGATGCGAAGATAGCTTAATCTGTGGTGATGAATGAGGATGATCGTCCAGTGTGTAATGAAGGGAATGATTATAGGTAGAATTTTGGAGGTATACCAACTAGGACCCGGTGCGTGGCAGCCATGAAGTTGAGAACGGCTGTAGTTTAATGTTTGTAGAAGGTGTAAAAGTTGGAATAAATAGAGTTATGTAAGTCGTGATGAGGCTGTCCATGTCCTGCGTACCCCAAAAAATAGGTTGGATTCACAGGGTTTGAGTTAAACTGTCCTGGCTTATTTGTGTATTTTGTCCGGTGTGTACGGTAGGCCTGCGTAGGCGACAACGTTCAATGTTCATTCTCTTGGATTGTTTGCGTCACAGCTCAGACGGTTTGTTGACCTATTATGTGCCACCGTAGGATCCACTAGTAACTGAAGGCTTAGTCCAAACTCTATTGCTGGTCACTCTTCTCTCTCCTAGCGCGCCGTTATGTGTCGTTCGTCCTAATCGCGTCAACTCCTCTTGACAGCAGCTAGTCATTTTTGGCTCCATGTACATTACAAGGAGCCACTCACTGACTCTCCAACCTTCATTTTCTTTTGCCGTCTGTCTCTCTTAATCTTCGCTCTCATGTTGATTCCTTCATTGAAACTGTAGGTATCCAGTATTGGTCACACGTCTTAATGACATGGCTACAGCAGCCACTGATGCATTCTTTTCTAGAGCCAATATCTCTGCTTAGCAGCAGCTAGTCGCCATAGCTCCTATTTACCTTTGCGGATATCCGGAGCTTGCTCCCTCTTACAACGTTCATTCTCTCGGATTGCTTGCTCCACAGCTCAGCTGGTCCTATTGAACTATCACTTAACTTCACTGGCCTATAGATACACTCATCGACCCTATAGGCATACACTAGTGACCAAGCGTCTGATTGGAATAGCTGCATCTGGCGAGTGAGTCACTCCTAGCGCCACCATCTGTCGGTCGTAGTAAACTCGGCACCTCTCTTCAGAAATAGCTAATGGCCATTGGCCCCATGCATATGCGATGATCCAGTGCTTGTTAGTAGCCACCCCGTATCTCAGTAACCTTTACCCCTTTAGAATACCTGCATCCAGTCCTTCCGCTGCCTTGCCACCCATTGATCTTTAAGACCCTCTCGCAGCAACCAATTTATTTTCGCTTATTATGCCCCTCTCTCGGATTACACTAACTACGTGCTGTTCATGCATCTGACAATTACTACCAACATTCTAACTCTCTTTGCTCTATCCCCAAGCAATTATCGACTCATATCAAACGGATACTCGTACTTTACTTACTGGTGCAACGCACTTGTCTCTACGCAGGCGATAGCAATCCACCTATACGGCCAATGATTCTATAGGATACTCAAAAGACATTTTCAGCATAATTATTGCTGCACAGTGTACATGTTTTGTCTCAAGCCCAAATGTTATAACACAAGACATTAACAATATTCAACTTCATGCCTGTTCTTGCGGTCTTCTCTCGGTTGTCCCTCACTTGCCCTTTTCTCTGAGGTCCGGGACTTCTTGGAGATCTGGGATTGGAGTAAGGAACAGTTTTGGCCCAAGACAGACGTAACAACCCACAAGGACCTAAGTGGAGCATGGTAAATCTCCGAAAGGACAGACCTACAATCACCATAAACCTTGTCCAGTATGGAAAACTGGACATATCCTCATACTCCCATACATTATACATCCGAAAAATCTGAACAGCAGAAAAATTGAAACTTTTGCTCAACTGGACATCCAACAAGAAGAAAATCGCGATGTCCCTCTCCTCCACCGACCTCAAAAATCATGGCGACCCAGATCAAAATACCCGTCTAACTAACAGAGGAAATTAGAAGCCATTACTCCGCGAAAAACCCAAGGTAAAACCAGTCGTCAAGCGGCTCTGCCAGTTCAACATTAATGTTCAAAATGCTTTACGGCAGTGTTGCAGGACGTGGTGGGTTTTCGCCTGGCAAGCGTTCTCCCTATAAAAAGCCACAAATATCTGTTTAACAACACCGCGACGTGGTGGATGTGAATTGCCGCTGAATAAAATCACAGCCCACAACTACATACTGGCAAGTCGACTAGACTCACATATCAACTCTTCTCGACACCGTTTTAAATACACACGATTGAACCCGATGTATCGTCGTGATACACAACTGTTTTTAAACCTTGATCGTGCCTAAATTGGTGCGTCTCTATGAAACTGAGAATAAACTATGTATTTATTTATTTTATCATGGACATATGACCAATTTTCTACTGTTACTGTTACAGTTGCCATAAAATGTTTGTACAGTTGTACATATCTGATCATGCCTCCATGGGCGTGCCTCGCGTAGTCGAGCATAAAGTATTTATTTATTTATTTATGAGCTGGAGGTGCCGGCTCACGGCGGCTATGGTGTGGCAACGGGACGCTGCCTAGTTAGAGGGGGTGGGGTGTAGAGAAGAACCGAAACGGTATTGGCGCGCGTCCAAAGTTGAATCGTTGCAGTAACGGTACGCTCTCACGCTTAACTTTCTGAGCGCTTTTCCTGACAAATTACCGGAGGATGAAAAGAACACGCCGACATTGGTTAACTGTTACTTCCTTCGTTGCAATTTATCTCATGTTTATTACCTTTTGTTGAGGCTACATGATGCGCAATAGAACTTCGTTCTCAACCATTAGAGTTTTTCAATGCTTGCGCGTTACAGGCGGTCTTCCATCGCCTTGAACTTGACCTTGGCGCAGCAACCCGTTTTCTGGCTTGTCATGCCATCTCATTTCTAGATTAAAATAACGTGAACTGCAATGTTTTCATAAACACTGTGAACATTATCTGACTTACCAAACTCCTGTCAGATCTAAGTAAGCCAATGCGTGCAAGGCGGTCTGTGCCAAGACCTGTTAAAAATTAGCTAGACCAATTAAACCACCAACTAATAATACAAACTCTACCATGAATTCTAAGTGCAGGGCAATCCTTTCAGATCCACTAAAAGAGGCTCGTGATAAAGGTAACGTTCTTAGGATCGCGTAAACGCACTCAAAAGCAACATCTCTGTACCGCGCGAAACCGTGGCAAAATATATGCCACTAGCTCAGCTCACGGAAATCTCACCGACCAAAAATGTGAATAACGCAAAGTGTCAAACCAGCTGCACACACGTTACTAGTGAAGTTTTGAACGAGTTCGTCGAGCACATAACGTACTGGTATACAATGTCCTGAGAAGACCTAATTAGTGAAGGTAACACTCGCCCATCAGTGTCAACAACATGACTACTACGAAATGAAACGTCAACTAAAAATATCCAAACGCAAATCGTGCCCTACATTTATCACCTTTTGTGACCCAGGTCCGGCCAAGTCTCTAATATTAAAACGATTCGTTATGAGAGAGCCAATTTTGCGACAATTGAGGGCAAGCCGGACAAAACACTTCTGCAAAGTGCATTTG